CAGGAGGTCTACTCCGGTTCTCGAATGCGAAGTTTCGTTTGATTTGCGGCGGCAAACAACGTTTTCGGAACCATAGACAACTTTCGTGAACTACAATGAACGAATGAAGTGAAGATAAATAAATGGGCAATAAGTAGGTTTAGATTCGAAATTAAATATAAAATTTTATTTTAAGTAATTATATTACTAAAATCATAATGCCATGGCTTAGCACACATAATCATCAAGAAAATCATGAATAATCTTTTAATATTAACGTTTAAGATGGAAAATCTTAAGCAGGATAAGAACCTCCTTTCAAAAATTTATTATACGACCAAGTTAAAAAGTTTTAGAATGTTTTTTTTTGTCATTTATTGACATTTATGTATAAAATAATGACAACCAAATTTATTCGTATTATATTAGTACAGTCAGTTTAAAAATTATAAATGTCTACATGAGAATTTGAAGAGACTAAATTATTTCGTGTTATGATGATTAACAATATATTTTTGAAAAAAATTATCTTATCTATAAATGTTGGTATAGTAATAGATGTGAAAGAATAGCGAAAATATATACTAGCAATACTTAAGTTAATTTTTCTAGCGGTATTATTAGTTTTAAAATAAAACATTACTCATTAAACATTTATGTTCAATACATAAGTTATTCAAATAAGTATTTGATTAACCTAAATGTTACTAACTCTCATAGACATATAAAATATATAGGTTCGTGTTAACGAACTATTTGAGCTGACTGTACATTGATTTTATATCGTCATTTAAGTAGTTCTTTTGGTGCCCTACGTGTTGCCCACACAAAGAAACCGTGACAAAACGAAGACTTATAATTACTTTCCTTCATTTTTCAATAAATTTAACCCAAACGAAAATCAAACGATAACTATTTTGGTTTCGTTGAAATGACATTAAACGTCCGAAGAATAATCTGTCAAACTCGAATTTTCGTTCGTGCGGATTATACAATTAGAGTAGGGTTCCGAAAATATCGATGTCAAACAGTACATCTCATACTAATTTCTGGCTAATTTCATTCCTTTTTCGTTCGTAAAAAATGCCATTGTGGTAGGTAATGTTCGAAGTTTCGTCCGAAACTTCGTTTTTCGTCGAATCAGAGTAGACCTGCAGTTTTAGCCATAGATATTTTGTGAGGGTGTACGTTTGTTTTATATGTATATAGGTGTTACAATTTTAGCTAAGAACCAATTTTAAAAAGTTTGCAGCGTCATACGCAATTAATTTTAAAGGTTTTCTTGTAAAAGTTATGAATTAAGTATAATTCTATATTTTAAATGTATTTCCCACATTACAGATGCTCGAAATAATAGGAAACGAAAACGTGAACCTATCCGAGAAGCAGATGGCTGAGCTGATCGAGTTGCTGGACAAGGAGGAGATCCTTGAAGTGGAGAGCAAGATACAGAAGGCGCTCGACAAAGCAGCGTTAGCCGCCAAAGAACAGGACAAACCTAGCGTCTCCGAGGGGAAGGTAATTACCGATTCCACACTAACAAATGTAATCTGGATTGAAAGTTTTGTGAAAGTAATTTGATCTTTGAAATTGAGTCTGTAACTAGGAATTCCTTGGTAGATCCAAATTTTACTCTTTTCGATGTCGACGTCAGGCATCTTATAGTCTTGTATTAAGTATTAACCAAAAAGTAGACAAACATTGCCAGAATGTTATAGATGGCATGTGAATACTTTAAATAAAAAAAAGGATTCTTAAGCATAATCTTATTGCTTGGTCATTGTAGGCATTATTGTGAAATATTTTAGTCTACAAAACAGATTATATACTGTTATCTCAAGCGTCATTTCATATTCGAATGCGCATTTTGATGTCATCAAACTTTATCTAGTAGTCAGCTGTTCTCAAATATAATAAGGAAAGGCCACTCGTCCGATAACAGTGTTTGGTGTCAAGCAAGGTCAAAGTATGTGCTAGAATTTAATACACATTTTTATAAACATTCTCAATTTAATGAACTGTTAAATCAACGCAATTTATTTGGGAACTTAGTATACTTGCAATATTCAACACTAGGTAAAAGGTACAATCGACGTAGTTAATCTTGATTACCTACCATTAAAGTGGTTTTCTATTGTTGCAGAGTTTATTCGACATAATCCGAGAAGCTCAAAAGAGGCGAGAAATGAAGAAAGCCGCCGAACAAGAGGCTCTTGCCAAGAGCGAAAGTATCGTCACCAAGCCTGAAGATAGCAGTAAACGGCCCGAGAGTCACTGAGTAACACAGATCTACTTAGTCAAGGTGTAAATAAAATTAGTGGAATGTTCTTACTCATCTTTACGCCTTCCTGCTGGTTTAAGTGACGATAAATTGGCAAAGATGGCGTTCGGCGTTTGTATTTAAACTTAAGATGCGTTCGGGCATGTGCAATCACATTTTCACCCAGACAACGATATAGCAGACAGTTCATAGAGTGGCACTGCCTGAAGGCATCTTATATCCGCATATAGCATAGCTGTTGTACTAGAGTAACGACATCAAAAAGATGTAGAAAAAAATATAAATAATTACGTTGATGTAATGTGTTACCCTAATGACAATAAGCATTTTGTAACATGTAATCAATCACACACGAATATGTAAATAACGTATTACTTTATAAAAAATATTATTTTATTATGTTACGATATAATCCTAAACTTTCCAGGCCGTACAAAGTCGTTTGTTTGTTGTAACTTGTAATGTTTTTATTTATTCCTGGTTATTTTTGTTTCATATGTATTGTATTACGTTGATGCATTTCTGTGATCGCTATTCAGTTTAAGTTTTATTTTAGTTTATTTTAGTGGTTGTATCAAAAATGTTGCGCACAAATTGTGGAGCGAAACACTTACTTCTTTTCAATTTTGAATTGGAATGAACAGATACGATATTACAAATACTGGTAATTTTTTTAGATACCTGATTAATATATTATGTAATTTTGGATGTGTATATTATGTATATTATCTGTAAATGCAGAGTGCTGTTCACAACAGTTTACATTCAGAATATTGCTTTAACTTACATTTGTACGATAATTTATGTTGTATATCAAGTGTTGAATATAATAAACTCCTAAAAGAGTTACTACCTTATGAATGATTCGTACCCATATAATATTTATATTCAATCAATTTTCTGCTGTTCAAATGTAGCTCCAATTTCCTTTTACCCTAGGTACTAACAGTATTGGTAACTTCCAACGAGTCACTGCTAAGTACATTGATATACTTCTGTTCGATGTACTAATAAATAAAGTTATAAAGAGTAAGAGAATAAAGAGATCGATGAAAATTATTTTATTGTTTTATTCACGCCACCTTCGTCGCTTCGTAGCACGGTCCACGACCTTCAAAGATAATTATTCATACCTACGAAATTATTCTGCACTAATATTTATAGAGAAAACTTACCTAGGGAAAATAAATAATTATTTAAGATAGATCAATATCAATCCTTGGACTTTGACCTTGTTATACTTATCGTACTGGTAACTCCCACGAAGTCTTAATATCTGTATTTTAAAATTCCCGCGTCTTGACGATGTGAAAGTTTAACATATCCGGTTGCAAATACTGGAAGCTTATTGGTTGATACGAAACATCGTTTTACGAGATTAGCCAATGGTTGTATTTCAACGAATCACAAGGTGTATGAAATGTACTCACGGGCTGTCCGGTCGCCATCTTGAATGATATTGAAAAGCGAAGCGATGCGATTGGTCAATAATGAGACGTCACACCAATCTTTTGACGGAGTTGCGCAAAATAAAATAATTTTGTGACTCTCACTCACTCATTGCGGCTGCCATGTTTTTTTTCATGTGGGGTGTGTGTGTATTGATATAACATGATAGTTTAACCCCGTATAAACTGTTACAGGTGAGTAATTTTCATTAATTCTTGTTGTTTTATGTGTCAATGCGGAAGTAAGTTCATGGCGCGTCCTTAGTGAAAGTGCATCATGTAACATCGCCGTCTATTTGTGAAATTGCATCGTATCGTAGATGAAATGAGTAGTAAGATTATGACTCAGAGTAAAATGACGATGAAAGAATTACCGTGGCGCGCGTGATAGTACTCTTTGTTGATGTATAGCAAAAAGTGTTATTCGGGTGACGTTGCGAATGCTAGGAGGCTTCGTCCGCGCTCACCCTCGCTCGGGTGACGTTTTGGCGCCATCGACCCATTTAGCACGGCGGGGCGGGCATGGTACTCACGGCACACGAAATTCTTTGTGCTTACTATATCTCAATGACCTTTGTAACAAAACAGATGATAGTAAAAGTAAATCGTTTTATTTTACAGAATCAAGGGGTGCACGTAGTGCGTCATTTGTTATTAGCTAGTGACAATGCGATTGCATAAAAATTGAAGCAAGCGCTGCATTAGGAAAAAAAACTGACCCACTAGCAAAGAATAGGCCAAAGAAATTAAGGATGTATTAGTAACGGAGGAATTTAAGGATCGATTTATATCACACGGCCCACGGCGATTGTAAAATGGACTCACGATTATTGTACAAGATGATGGTGTTTGATAACGGCAGACACTATCAAGGACAGGATGCGTAAGCATAAGAGAGAGAGTCAGGCATTTGCCTGCTGGCCTGCCACATCGAGAGAACTTCATCAAACTCCACACTCCATCATCTGATACCCCCACACTTGGTACAGGTAAGCCGCACTCTACACTTGTCACCTACTCAGAACATCATCATTGCAATCAATTAATGTAAATATTCTTTGTAAAGTCACTATCATTATTGTATTCACATTTGGGCAACAGGAATAAAGCAAGATTCTAAAAGCGCTACAGATATTACGAACAGCCGGTGAATACCTTTATATTAGTATGTAATTGTAAAGAATCCATCTCCAATAATATGCTGCATCACCAAGTATCTTGCCATGATCCATAGTAAATAAATGATAGGCTAAATGAATAATCATACCCAGTAATGAAACTAATGATGAAAAATAGTGATTAGTGAACTTGTTAGTGATCAAATAATAATCAGTTTGCACTAATTATTGTTTTTTCGACTGTCAAGAGGAAATGCAGTGCTCAGTAACACTGGAAAGTGACCATAACAGTGGGAATGTAAAAATGAAGACAATTAACAATTATAAGAATCCTTACAAAAAGGTCGGTTTTGCATCTATTCCAATGTTATATGTTATTTTTATAGGCAACATGATATTGTTTTTTGGTTTGCTAGTTGTAACCAAAATGTTATTTTGTGTTTTCCTTGTGGGAGTGATTAGTTTTGTTTTTTGTTTTAAAACATGTTGTCTGACTATACAGGAAGTTTCCTCCTAAATGATTGTTGCCTATGAAAGCACCGCACCACTGTATTTTGATGTCCCCCTTGGTTTGCACACTACTTTAGGAGCATCACTGCATTCTTCCTTTGTTCCATTGTTAAAAGCTACTTGTAATAATTATTTGCATTATCATTGTGTGCATATATTTTTTATTTATTGCAACATCATATTTTTTGTGTATGCAGGATAAATCCAGATAAAACATGAAAATACCTACTAGTTTTTTATTGTGCAATGCTACTTTCCCTTTGTTGTTATTTTGATAAGTTTTTCAATAGTCTTTAGTCTGTCACACATTTAAGTTCTTTCATTCTCAGTTGTGTTATCCATCCATATTATTATAGAACAGCTGGTGTTATATCGTTTAGTAGTTCTTTTCAGTACTTTTGAAATGTGCAATACATACATTCTTTATTATATTTTGTATCATACATGGATCAATCCACTAAAATCTTTCCATCATTTTTGATCCAAACTGGAGCACTTTAGAAAAGTAGTTAAATAGAACACAGAAAATGTATGTATTGTATTTTTATGTAGCTAAATATTTCTGAATATTAGATATCAGTTTATGAATTAGGCATATTTACGGATTACAGCACATCCATATTCCTCAATCTGAATGATTTTTGTAATAGAATTTGTTTTTTTTTGTTGAATAATAATGTGCTGATATCTGTACTTATCCATTACATTAGTTGCATGCGAATTAACTTGACTTTCTTTTGACATCATGCGTAAATTATTTCCAGGAACCTAATCTTGACAACATTGTTGATCAGCTGTGCACACGACTTCAGGACATCAAAGATCAAGAAAGTTCGTCACGAGTAGGCATGCCCACGTGTTCCGTAGAAGAAACAGAAGCTGTTCGTCGATATTACGCTGCGTTTCCGGCTTTAAAGAAAGGTCGAGAGTCGCCATTACCATATTATCTCCCACCGCCGGCGTGGTGTCGTAAGTCAGCGCCAGATTCCAATACCAAAATGCAAAGCGAATTATCAGTAGCTAAAGATTGGAATACTAAAAACAAGAAACTAACCTCGGGCAAGGAGCGTCGCAACTCATACCACGGTCAAAAGAAGAATAACAAGAAGCGTTGCAACAGTTACAGTAGATCCTTCGACAGTAAAGAGATTCTACCAGAGTGGGTAACTCATGAAGGCGTCTGGGATATGGAAACACAGGATCCGGTGAAAGAGTTTATCAGAGCCATAGCATTGGACGAGGGTTACGGTACGTGCGAAAACACTGTTACAGACGAGATCAAAGAAATTTCTCAAGGCAAAATTAGAATGAACGAAAACATGGTGCCTGAATGGGACGACAGCCTCGACTTTGACGCCGAGTGGGTCATCACCGAGGACCTGAACCCGCGTGTCCGTACGCCCATGGAGGAGGAACTTTATGCCAAGTTTGAGGCTAAGTTCGATCGCAGCATTGAAGCTCTGTGGTCTAAGGATCAGAACACTCCTGATGATGAGTACCAGGACCTTCCGATAGACTTCCAAGACTTGCTGTCATCGCCCTCTGACCGCCTGTTCGCTGATCCGTCCGCCGAGAAATGCAGTCTCATATCTCTCACTGAGAGCATTTGGTCTACCGAAGCTGCGGATTTCCCGCCTCCGCTCGACCGCGGGGATTCACCCTCGCGTATAGCTGACGCTCTGCACGACCGCTTCCGGCCACTTAACCTGACCGACGTCGTCGAGCCTGAGCCACGCGAGCTCGAGTCGTTCGCTTTGTACGAAGGCGACGAGATCTACGATGCATTGAGCACAGTTGCCAACACGATGCGCTCTTTCACTGCGATCAATCATAGCCGTGATCGCAGCGGCTTCGTCGAGGTGCCGCCGCGCCGCAACCGAGCGCTCGGCCTCCGCCAGCACAGCGTGGTCCGCGAGCCTCCACCACGCCCGCCGTCCCGTCCACGGGAGGATCTGCTCACATCTGCGCGCACTCATTTTCGCCCCATCCGCCGCGAGAACGATGCCGAGCCACCGCGCTACGCCGACGGTGACACCTTTGATATCTGTGGTGATCCAGACACCGTCGACTTCCGTCGCAGCGAGTCTGGCGGCTTATATCTCGGCACCGGGGAAGAACGCTATCTAGAGTATCGCGCTACACGCAGCATCGATTACGGCCGTCTCAATCTCACGGCGGCTCAGCGCTGCCCCGACCTCGACGAGCCGGGGCTGCGACTGCGCTTCCCGTTGCGACAGAGCGACGCGGGCGTGCAGACCGACACGCCGGCCGACAGCGCGGCGGCCGCGGCCGCAGCCGCGTGGGCGGCGTGCGAGGAGTGCGGCCGCGCGGCCAAGAAGATGCGGCC